CTCTAAAAGTTTCAAGAATTTTTATATCTATCTTACTAATATTTTTATTAATATTATATATTTATTTGCTTAATTGTACTTTTTTTACATTTCACTAAATAAGATTCTTATAATTGAATAGAATACCTCCGCCTACTCCATCAATCATTCCCCCTCAAGGGGTTTACCTTCTATAGGTGAACACAGGGTGGCAGGACTCAAAGAACAACAGCAAAATCAGAACATGTTGTCTTTATGAAATATTTCAACGCCATCTATTGGCGTTAATTTGAATTGAGGAATATTAGCGATGGAACATGCCGCCCACCTTGAAATAGTATTTCAGCAGTGCTTGAATAAACAAAATTTATATATATATATGTAAAAAATTAAGCTTTTTAAGAATACAAATAACTTTATACACAATAACACGTTTTACAAAACAAAAAACATAATTTTGTGACATTACGTTTATAAGTCCCATCGGAGGTTTTTAGAGTTACTACCCTAAATATGTTATCAAGATCAGGGTGCAATTGTACGATTATGGTTTATTTAAAATGTGTTAACTAATTTATTTAAAGACGGAGATAAGTTCAAGAGTTATAATTATTTTTTATATCTATTTATAAACCCATTTTGCTTAGTGCATTTTTTTAGTATAAAGAGAAATGAGGTATCTTTAGTATAAAGTTTTTTTGGCAACAGTGTAAACATATTTGTTTGTGTAGCATTTTTTGATGCTACTTAAGTATTATACCATCAACCCATTCAGAAAATAAATTTATATGTGGTTCAAACTATAATTTTTTGCATGTAAGAAGTTATCTTCGTATTTTATTTTACTGTTTATGATTCTAATACTTACAAGAGCAGAAATATAAAATTTATTATGTATGTAACATGAAATAAAATTAAAAAACATCATAAGATATGATTAAACACTATTTAAACTGTACGATGATTAAACACTATTTAAACTATACGCTGCTGCGTCCATATACGCTTTTAAAAGCATTTGATCTATCCTTGTCTTTAAAACATTCAGTCTTTCGTTGGAATGCCTGTTTTTTTTTTCTTCTGTTCTGTGCCCCACACAGCAACATTATTTTCTCGGCATCATTTTCATGATCAATTTTCTTTGTCATGTCTATGAACGTATAGACATTTGGATTTGATGGCACTCTTCTACCAGGGCTAGAGAGAATAGAAGGGCTGGTTCAGTCCTTTGAAGTATCTCTCGCCGCGCCGATCCTCCGACGTCACTCTAGTGACGTCACTTTGGCGCAAAGCTCGCACTTTTACTTCAAGAACGGAGCGTTTGGCCTTACTAGCTCTAACTAATATTGGATCATTTCTTTTTGCGAGATATTCTAAGACATTTGTTATTTTCTATAATGACTTTCCTCAGTTTTTGCAGTGAATTTACAAGAATTTAAAACTATTATCGAAATGCCAGTTTGCGCGATTGCAACTTGCAAAAATTCTGATATAAAAACAAAAGGAAAAAGTATAATTTTTCGCGTGTTCCCTAAAGTAAATGAACAACTATGTAAAGAATGGATTCCGAAATGACACAGTTAATATAAAACAGCAATACGTTTATTCTGTCGTAAAGAACTTTTATAAAAATTCATTATCTAAATAGAAACCGCCTCGCTACTTCATAAAGAAAGGCAGGTGAAAAGAATTAAAAAATAGATAAAGTCAAAGAAAATTAAAATGTAAGTAAAAAGTATAAATAAAATATATAGTATATAGTTGAAATTCTCCTAATTTCATAACATATTTTTTAATGTAGTTATTCTAAATATTTATGATTTTTTTTAAAAATTATATTCTCTTCAATTTAAATATCTATAAATTATATCATCGTAAATTTAAATGTCTATAAACAATTGTAAAATTTCTAATGTCATTATGAACCTAAATTATTATTTTGTTTCAGTAATTAGCGTTTAAGGTTGATGTTTCCTAATGATTAAGTATGAACAAATTGCTATTAACGACATATTTTAAAATCAGGGATTCTAAATTTAACTTAACTTATCGTTATAAAAGAATATGTAGATAAAAAAAGTGTCGATATATGCCTTCATTTTTCTTAATAGTTAAAGTTAAAACTGAACTTTTTAAAATAAAGTATTTATCGTGTCATTTTCACCAACTAGCAAAACATTTTTATAAGTTTAAAATGGTATTTTTTTTAATATAATAACCAAGAAAGTTTTTTTTGAACTGTGTTTATGAACGGAAATAATGTGTTAATTACGTATAGTTTGAAAGCTAATAACCAGAAAAGTCTAACTTATTTTTACAAAGAGAAAGATGCAAAATTATCATAATATCTTTGCTTGCGATCTCCGAGATCTGTGGACACAGTGACGTCATGAGGAGGGAAATCGTAGCTTCAGCTCTAAGAGCGGAGTGAACTAGCCCTTCTATTCTCTTTAGCCCTGCTCTTCTACGGCTTAATTTGGAGTGCCACCCTCAACATGGTTGTTTGTCCGTACATTGTCACGATTGTCGAACTGATTCCAAATGTGCCTACAAAATAAAACACTGTTAAAAACGAGGTATATCTAAATAATGGTGGAATATATTGTAGTACTTAAATCTAAAATGCAATATAATATTTTTCTTCAATTGAATATAGTTCTTTTTGGGACATTCTAAGATGATCATTGTATTTTTAACCTGTAAGAAATTTGTTACCTAAATTAAAAAAAAAAAAGAGTTTAACAAAATTTCACTATTTTGAAAAATCAGAGTATTAAAATCAAATACTAATATAAGTAAATAAACATATGTTTGTAGTACCTGAAAAATGTTGATTTTTAAAAAAAAATATATTTGCAATAATTTTTATTTTAAAAAAACAAATGTTTAATTTTATGTCTTTATAATTGTTTATTTCATTTTGTATCATACTGTGTTTCAGAATGTTAAAATTGTAAATTAAAGTCATTTGATACAAGATTGAGGGAGATTCAATAAAATCAGCCTGAAAAATTTCAGAATTTTTTTCTGTGTGTGCGTGGTTATCTTATTCAAATAAACTGCAGTTTTAAGAAATTCATTAATAAAAAAATTAAAGTACGTATAAAATTATTTGTAAAAAAAAAAAAATTATAAATAAATTCAGCATTTAAATGTTTTTCCTGAAACATTTTTCAAATGAATAACAGAACTTTTCACTTTAAATTGATGCAATTTCATGAGGTTTTTTTTTTTTTTTTGAATCTAATCTAAATTTTAAATTATTCAACAAATTATTTGTATAAAAATTAAGAAGTAACTGAAATTGCTTTTTTTTTGGAATAATAAATAGAATTGCACACATAGTTAAGAAGCTGTATCACTGCTAAAATCTGCTGTATGACTTGCGGACTAAACTGAGCACCAGCATCTACCCATGTCATTTTCATGTACGCTGTAAAATTGTTAATTTGGCGGCTTGTTGGAGCATCGCTTGTAATCGTCAAGAAGTTATCCCCGATCTGGTAGATAGGTACAAGAGGAAGGGCTGATAACCGCCGAATCCACCGCCTTGTGTCTTCACAGTTTACGTAAGCGGATACCAAACCTAACGCTTGAACCTGAAATAAAATTTTGACACTAAAGTGAGTGTTAGTGATACTATTCTCAATACTTAAAATTTTACTTTGAATTTTTAGTCTTTCTAGTGTACATGCAGGGACTAATTCAGATCAATTTTGGTACCGTTCCTTGGAACCTTCACAAAAATTATGTGAACCAAAATATGTTACCTTCAAAAAAATGAATCAAAACGGCATCTTCCAGAAATTTACTAAGAATGTCGGTACCATCTAAAAAAATCTACCAGAACATCGACACTTGACAATATTCTACCGAAAATCGACACGTCCATTATCATTTTATAACAAAAGAAAGGAAAAAAAGGCAGTTTTATATTTGTACTTTTTTCATTTAAGAAATGAATCGACTTATCAAGCTTCAAGACATTATATACTTGTTTTTAGTTTTTTAATCTTTGGTTTAATATTTCTAATAAGGAATGTTTGAGTCTTCATAAAATAGTGTCTTTTGTTTTCATAATATAGTGGCTGAGTAATATAGTGTCTTCATAAAATAGTGACTGAGCTCAAAAAAAGAATTAAAGGGGTTAGTATTTTAAAAGTTGCGATGTGTTTTTTTTTTTTTTTTTTATANTCTATAATGTATAATTTTTTAATCGTATTTATTATGAAAAAAAACCCCTTAAAACTAATTATGCCATTAATTTCAAATTCTATGTCATTCAATTTAGGATGTGATATTTCATAAAAAAAAAATTTATCTTATATTTTCAGATGGGCCCCTACATAGCGCAACAAAAAGTGCACTTGAAAAGTATAATACTTTTTATACGTGAAAATACTTGCAAATTTTGAACTGTTCTTTCTATAGTCTGAATAACTTCATTCGATTAAACATAAAAATATAGATAGGAAACAAACCCTCACTTGTTTAGATAGCCATGCCAACTGCTTAAATCGCTACAAATACAGAATTGTACTTTTTGTGCATGAAACCCTTTTAAATTTTAGTGTATTAGTTCGATCATATTGGTGATTGGTTTCATTCAATTCAGCGGGGGGAGGGGAATGTATCGGAAGCAATGTCTTTCTAGCCTATCAAGAAGAAATTTTATTCTCTGCTCTAATCATCCAGTTTTCCTCTGAAAAGGGGGGGAAAGCAGAGAGAAGAAAAAAGGAGTTTTCAGGCATAATTTGTAATGACAAAACAAAATTAAAATTTTAACCATTTATTTTATTGTAACAACAACCGTTACAAAACCATTCTTTGCTTCTAGGAGTGGACTTAAAACCGGCACAGAAAATATGGTACCATGCTAAACACACACGAATCACATTGTAGAGAACATTTTGAATAAATGTCTTCCTGGCAAAAGGACTTGTGTATTACATCGAAAACAAGCGTGTCATACCAGATTTTCAAAGTGGCTTCCGTAAGGGCCGGTCAAGTTTAGACAATATTATTGAACTGGAATCCAGAATTCGTAACGCCTTTGTCCGGAATTCGTAACGCCTTTGTGCCTTTGTCTTAATTCGTAACGTCTGTCTTTTTTGATATTGAGAAAGCATACGATCGAACTTGGCGTTATGGAATTCTCCAGACACTGTTTGACATTGGACTCCGGGGTCATTTGCCAATTTTCATCAAAAATTTCTTGCTGAGGCGTTATTTTCGTGTTATACTAGGATCTACATTTTCTGATCTTTACGTTCAAGCGGAAGGCGTCCCACAAGGCAGCATTTTAAGTGTCACGTTATTCATCATGCATATTTCACCAGTTTTAAACTTCTTGCCCCCTACTGTCTCTGGCTCTCTCTATGTCGATGATCTATACATCTCGTGTTCAGGATCCGACATGAGAGTCATCGAGCGACAGCTGCAATTAGCTGTGAACAAGATCTTAGACTGGTGTGATCAGAATGGTCACACGCTTTCACCATCTAAAAGTTGCTGTATCCATTTCTGCCGTAAACGCTCACTTCATAATGACCCTGACATCTCCATCCGAAACATTAATATACCAGTCGTGCCACACACGAAATTTTTAGGAGTCATCGACAGTAAGCTGACTTTTATACCTCATATCAGGCTATTACGTAAACAATGCGAACAGAAACTGAACATTTTGCGTGTACTGAATAATACATTGTGGGGAGCTGATCGCTTAGCCCTGCTACGCATATATCAAGCGCTGATACTTTCACTGCTTAACTATGCATGTGCAGTTTATGGCTCTGCAACCGCCTCCAATCTACGTATCTTAGATACCGTACACCATGCAGCTCTTCGCATTTGTTCGGGAGCTTTTCGTACATCCCCCGTTGAAAGTTTATACGTTGTCTGCAATCAAATACTATTAGATTTGCATCGCATGAAGCTATCTCTCAGTTATTACTTTCGTATCATGTCCTCTAGATATCATCCACTAAAGCATTATGTAATTTCATCAAGCTTGGAGAGATTATATGCAGCTAGATCTTCTCACGTCCGTCCATTTCATGCTCGCATGCGTTTACTCATTCAAACTTTTGACATTTGCAAATCACCATCGCAATCAGTCGATCATCTTCTCATACCTCCATGGAACATTATACCATATCAATTTTATTCCCCTTTTATGATGTATAATAAATCTAATGTTGCCCCCATTATCTACCAGCAACTATTCATTTCTCATCGTCACCAATATTCAGAGTATGTACCTGTGTTTACTGACGGATCAAAATCTGCGGGTTATGTAGGCTGTGGCGTCATTATCGCTGATGATACCTATAGCTACAGAATCCCAAGTATTTGCTCCGTCTTTACTGCTGAAGCTGCTGCCATCCTCTTGGCACTGCGGCTGATTTCCACTCGTTCTAGAAGGAAATATTGCATATACTCCGACAGTATGAGTGTTTTGAGGCAGTTGGAAAATTTTAACAGTGATAGTCATCAGATTTTATGTTTTATTAATCACTTGTTGATAACCCTTCACAAAAATAGATTTCATATTTTATTCTGTTGGGTGCCGAGTCACGTCGGTATTCCAGGGAACGACTTGGCTTATTCGGCTGCAAAATCTGCTACCTCTGTTTTAACTCTATCTGTACCTTTCTCGGACACAAAAACTTATGTTCGACAGTTCATCACATCTGTTTGGCAACAACAATGGGATCTAAAAATTTATAACAAGTTACACTCAATAAAAACAGATTTTAACCCTTATCCTGTACTGAGTCTGCGGCATGCAGATATAAAATTAAACCGTCTCCGAATCGGCCACACTCGGCTGACCCACCTACATTTGCTATTCGGGGAACCTCCTCCCCAATGCAGCACCTGTAAAGTTTTACTCACTATTCATCATATTTTAATCACCTGCCCATGTTTTAACCGTCATCGTCTAATCTTTTTTGGTAGTTCTATTTTAACTCTTCAGGATTTGTTAGGTGACTCTCATCATCCTAACATTTTTGCGTTTCTACGCGCAATTGGTCTTTTATACTGCATATAACTGTTTTATCCTATTCACAATTTTATCTGATTTTATTCATCTTTGAATGCAACTGTTTTATAATGCTTTACTACGTTTACATTTTATCTGATTTTACTCACTTTTGAATACCTCTGTCACGTTGTATCTAGTTTTATAAATTCCGTGTGACTTTTAATGAGGAAAATCTGTAAAATACATTTACCTTTATTTTAAAACCGTTCGTTTGGCGCAGCATGTCCTCCTTTGGACTTTGTGCCATTAAACCCAACATTCAATTCAATTCATTGAGGGTTGCCGCTTCTGTTTTCAACCATGTGGTAACATGTTCTTTCAGCTCGTCATCATCGCTGAAGTGTTGACCACCAAGGAAGGATTTTAGGCGTAAGAAGAGATGAAAGTCCATCCAAATCTTGGACAAACTGATCAATAAATTTATGGAATTCATTTAGTGCAGTTTTTATTCCGAAAAATAATCTTTTTGCTAAGTATGTACCTCTATGAGTAGAAAGAGTCTGATATTTTGCACTTTTTTCATCGACTTTCAAATGTAAATAAGCTTTATGAATGTCGAGCGTAGAGTAATATTTTCCGTCACGTAATTTATTGAAAATGTCCTCAATTCTAGGAATTGGGTGTCTGGCATTTGGAAGCTGATTGTTGATTGAAACCGTAAAATCTGTGCAAATACGAACTATGCCATCGTGCTTTGAGATAACTACTAGGGGTATCCTAGCTAAAAATAAACTGCTGAAAATTTAAAGAAAAACTGCAGTTTGAAGACTACGGACTTGGCCAATTCCACTACAGAATTTTTAAAGTCGAAGAACTACAAAATTACTACAGAAATGAATTGGATGGAGGTGTCCTGATCCCTTTGTTGGGGGGGGGGGATATCACTGTGATAGCCACGTGATGGCTATGACGAACAATTTTATAAAATGGATCAAGCTAAGGAAAACTATTTTAAGAGACTCCACTCTTGTTGGTTTACTCAATCTTGCTGCACGCTTAAGTTTTTTTTTCTTCCGTAGAAATCTTCCGTATGCCTAGATATCTTTTTATTAGCAGGGTCTTAACCAACACCTTGCTTGCAGATAAATTATTTCTGATCCCTCTTTTACGCAACAGAATACCAGAGAACGAACCATCTACCACTGAAAACAACCTAACTTGGTACACTCCTCTTTAGAAATATATGACTCCATATAATTTGAAAATTTATCTATGTACTGTGACAAGTGTTTTTTCAATCACTTACATTGTGACAATTTTGGAATGTTGCCATTTCACCCATATGAACACCTATCTCATTGAATTTCACTCAACATCATTAATGACAAGGGAATTATCTAAATCAGCATTAGGCTCAACATCAGACAAAGATAGAGATATAAAATTATTGTTAGATCTACAAACCAAATAAATGCACTTGCACATGTTACACTTAATGGAATTGTCTATTCACGTGCATGTGAAATCATCCAAACAACTGTTACAGAACTCACATTGCATAGAACAAGGCTTAGTTCCACACCTGTTGTATCTTCTAGCCTCATAAAATTGACCTTCTACACTGACTGATTGTACATACCATATGTTGAGATCCTTACTGGGCACCACATTTGACAAGTCTAAATTCACACTGTTCCAGTGTCTTTGCCTGGAGGTCACCATCTCAAAAATTACCTTTCCTTTATGTAGTCCTTTATAAATCTATCAAAATTTTTGTCTCGCACAAATTGTGTTAAAGCCTCATTACCTGTAATCCACCCAAATAGATATACTTTTTAGTCCTATGCATGCGTTTTAAATACATATTTGTGTTCACACCAGACCATTTGTGATAACAATATGCCCACATTTCGAATTTTTTTTTTACTATAATACTCTGAAAAATGCATGAAAAACCTCTGCTCACCTGCACTTGCAGCAAAATCTGACATAAGAGAGTAAGTTTTTTTATCTGTCTCTTTTAGTTTACGACGCCAACTCCTATCAACATGCCAAGAACACAGTAACTTGTATTTTGGGATATCAAACACAGAACGCCAAGCCGGATTAAAAGCATCTGCAGCATCAGTCATGAATGCTTCAGGCTGTATATTTACCCCATAATTTCTAATGGATTTAAATGCAACACAGAGGGCCTCCTGAACTTTTCTGTTGCTGAGGATTATTGCTGCAGGGTCTGTCATCTAGCATACACAGAATACATCAATCAAAATCATACTCATTGACACCATGTGTAAAATTACAACACTAACATGAAATCTTCTATCATGTTAGTGTTCTTCTGGATGTCGAGAATATCTTTCCTTGGCGTCAAATGTGACCGGGAAAGTTCACCACTTATTGACTCTCTTATATAATTCAGTAGTTCTTGAATGGGCTTTTTATTACTCAACTGATATGCAATACTCTCTCGCTCTTCCTTAGATAAACGAAGGCGACCTAAATCACTCTCATGGCCAACATGTGTTTCAGTGAACTCAACATAATACAGACCATCTTTAACTACAACAGAAATCACTGCAGGACAAATACCAGGGATCAGGCTAGCTCACCGAGTTGTGGCCAGCTGAAGTGGTAGCCAGACGTGGACTATATGGGTAAGGGTTTTGCAAACCTGGGGACGTGCGCACGCCTGAAGGAAAGGAAAAAGGACAAATACCATCTATTTTGTTACTACCCATTTGTTTACTAAAACGCATACCAGAACGATGGCAACTCACAACTTTTTTTAAAATTCATAAGTTCTACTTCATTTTCTTTCGTTTCTTCTTCACTACCTTCCCCAAAAACTGTTCAAAGCTAACTCTGTCACTTGGCGCCTCCCTAGTTTTAAGCGCGGTATAGCCAAATCAAGGCTCTTGCGCCAAAAATTTACATCACTCACCCTCCCTGGGGTCAATTCGATCTGATCAGGATCGAGCCTAATCCCTTGTTTAACCTCGGTTAGTCCGGTCAAGTTCCGGATAAGCATCTTTTATCTGCACTGTCCTGACAGTTTTCAGTATGATTTTTGGCACAGGTCCTACAGAGAGGAAACATCAACTTATTTTGGCATTTAACTAGTAAAACGGGATGCAAAAGTTGACGCGGTTAGTAGTATTTTGCATTTGACAATACCAGAAAAATTATGAATATCATCAAAGCTACTAGTAATGATCTTAGGGTGCTCAATGGGGCACTTGCAATATTTATTCACCCAAGGGTATAAGCTGGTGAAATCGTAATATTTTGCAGCCCCTTCATTATAAAGAACTGCAGCGTTTGTTCTTCCCCCAAAAGAGGCATCAGTTCCCATTACAGTTGTTTTGTTTCGTCCAACATGACTGGTGATTGCCCTGAAAGATAATCCACAATTTCGGTAGGCCACTATCACTCCTCTGTTGAACTCGGATACTTGATCAAAAGATGATCGCTGTTTTCTATAAGGCATAATCGTTCGTTTTTTGAAAAAACCACAAGAAAAACACAATTGCCTAACTTGATAACGTCGAAATCTCCAAACCTTAAATAGCGCTTTGAAGTCGCACGTAATGTGCGTCTGCGCTGAAATTCTAATCATTTGTATATCTCACCTCCGCTAATACATATTGTAGATTTCATGTTATTTGCATGCTTCCTTTGGGGTGTTGCATTTACTGCGGCCAGCAGTGTAAATATATTTTACATAATGTTTAAATTTCATTACCAAATTCAAAAATGATTTTCTATTTCTTGATTACTGATGGTAGAAATCTGTTTGCACAGTCAAACTATGAAACTCTGGGCACGTACGCATCTTCGACTGCAGCTCTTGTGCCTTTTGATTCTTTAATTTTTTGTAACTCTTGTTTAAAAGTTGTCCTAATGCTGTTTATCTTGTTAACTTCAGCCGGTCCAACTACGGGAATATTTATAACCTTCGCTATTCGCAATAAGGCTGAGTTCCTGGCATCTTTGTGTTTATAATCCTCATGCCTCACATTCCATAAGACTTCTTCTTTTTCAAATAACTCAACAAAATCTAATGTTTGTTGGTCATGCAATTTCCTACGACTTACTTCTATTTTGAACTATCTAGTTTATCTATCCTACAGCACTTTTTCAAGTTTAAAAATGAATTTTGGAGAACTAGGAGGAGATCTCGATATCTGGTTGACAACACTTTATGCATCCATAGAAAAAACATCCTTAGTACTGATAAACAGTGTTGCTGGTTGCACAGTGTAGGCCGGTATTTTCCGTCATCAGCCATTAGCAGGTAGAACTCTTTCTTGTTGTAGTCATTTACCACCTCAAGGACTTGGTTAATTTCTCAAAGATTGAAGTTGGTGGGTCATGGCTAAAGCAGATAGTAAACTGTTCATGCTTCAAAGTAAGTCCAACTGTTGAAGGGTAGTAGCTGTCACCATAGCGGTTAAACTTCCTGATGTGTTTCGCAACTTTTTTTTAGTACTCGTTCGCCAGCACAAAAAAAGTTTTCTCCAATGGGATAATAATGTTCAGTATAGCACCCCTCTTTAAACTGTCCTTTTCTGTCTCCTTCCTACAAATGAAAAAACATTTTTTGAGTTATCAAGAAACCTAACATAGTAACTAGTAAATAATTAAAACTTTTAAGTTACTTTTTTATCTTCATGTTTATTTAACTAGTAACAACAAATAAAAAGTTAACTTAACAAATATTAGTTTTATTAAGATATTGTAATGACTGGAAGAAATAACTGTTCGCAATATAGAAATGATTAATTGAAGTGAAAAAAATAATTTCAGTTCTTTTGCTTAGATGAGGATGCCAATTAACGTAGCTCAGCAGTTTTATAAATAATACTATTTAGCATAGTTATAAAATTTTAATAAAACAATGAGTATTTACTTGAATATCATCATGCTTTAGTATTGCGTGTCCATCCATAACGAAGAAAAGAATCTAAGGGAACTAACTATTTAGTGAACATAGAAAACTGAGAAGATAAAACCTACCTATAAACTTAATAAATTTTAAAACTTAACAGAATTAAAAGACATGCTATTACTTGATTGAAGATTGATTAATTCAATCCACATACGTCACAGATGGAGCCCTCCCTTGTTTAATCTTGTCCAAGCCGGACTTGTAGTATCTGCTTTGACGTCTGGGCGAATCCGGTACATCCCCTACCGTATGGTTCGATTCAGCGATACACGTGCATAAGATTTATCGTTGCTTAGATGAGAAAAGTAATAACATGAAGGTCAGCAGAAATACGAAATCGGAGAGCAGATAAGTTTCAAGTGAAAATATATCGATGAAACTATGGGGCTGTTATCGTTATCGAACCTGTTCTGTTCACGCATGTGATTTTAATACAAATTTTAAACTTAACGCGGATCGTACCAAGCACCCGCAGGGTAGTTTTCTGTGCTTTAGACAACAACTGATATAAACAGTATGATTCTGTGAGAAACAATGTCATGAAAACTTTCAATAATACTTTTACCTAACCTTCTATATTAATTTTATAAGTGAAAAAACTATTCAGTAAAGAAAATTACAAAAATTACATTACAGTAGAGCCCCGATTATCCGAGTTAATGTGGACCAAGACTAACTCGGTTAAAGCGAAAAATGTAAATTAAGATAAATCGTGTAGGTTTAAATGTATATTTTAACAAATACAAAGGTTATACTGATACACCATATGCTATTCATATTTTTACGATAATTAAAGAGTTCTTACTTAAAAAAGTCCTTAATTGTGTTTTGTATAACTTTACTTTGGTGTTGCTTCTTCTTGTTGTTCTATGTATTCAATAGCACTTTCGATAGCTTTTAATCCATCTGTATGTGAAATTTTCATATATCGATTTTCATCCTCACTGTCTTCATTACTAGATTCCTTTTCCTTATTCACGGTATTGACGATCATTTCATCCGTAATTTCTTGTTGCTCGTCAGCATTTATCCAGTCACGTACATCCTCTTCGTTTATTGGCTCAGCTGGTGGCAGTTTAATGACTATGTGGGAACGAGGCATTGCGTTCTCTCATTTTTACGGAGTTTTAAGACAACATCAAAACAATCAGAAGATAAAAATAAAAATTTTTATTTTCCGGAAAAATGATAGTCACAAAAGCTGCGTGACTAACTTAAAATAAAATTAAAATTCAAAATAATGTAAAACAGAGTAGTATTAGTTTTGTGGTTTTACAGATGCATATATATACTGGAGAAGATGTGCGATGAATAATTATGACATCAGTATCCTGCAGTCAGTTGCAGTTAATTTCTGACAGCAGAAAGAATATCAGGATGAGAGGTCGCAGGTTCGGTATTCCGATCCGCAGGTCTGATCTAGCGAACTCTACAATACTCCCCTTCCAGTCTGTAAGACGTTAGTAGATGAGAAATGAGGGTTCAACGCCAGGGATCTGTAGGGGGCGTGGTCGAATGCGGGATTCGTAAGGGCTCGGTGGGGGGAGGAGTCGCACACTTGGAAGGGGGGTACAATTTTAAAAAATTTGAATGAAATGCAATTATTTCAAATGATTATTTAATTAATCTTATTTTAAATAAATATTAAATTGAATTTATTTTTAATGATTATTTAGTTGATCTTATTTATAATTATTGTTTAATTGATCTTATTTTTAATGATTGTTTAATTGATCTTATTTTTAATGATTGTTTAATTGATCTTATTTTTGATGAGTATTTAATATTTTTTTATTTATTATTTTATTGGAAAAATAACAAATATGAATAAAATAACTCACGGGAGAAACGAAAAACAGCTCAGGTACAAGATAATACAAGTTAAAGCATGTGCGATTTTCCCACGATACCACCTTTATATGGACCAAGATCTTCGGAGAAAATGGTTCTTTCTTGAAAGTTGAATCGCGCTATCAACTTCTCTGCCTTACGAGCAGTACCACAGAGTTTTACATCCACTCTACTCCTAATGTTCTCCATTGTTTTCCCGAAGACTGCATTGTTCATCAATTTGTAGAAATTTTTTTCAATATCGTTAGTTGCAGCTGTTCATAGGGTGGTGTTTAAATCAATGTATGATTTTAACCACGGGGCTTGCTCGAACTGTAAAACCCTGTGCACTTTATTGAGTTTGAGGCCATGCTGAAGGTAAAGTTGCTAGTTTTGATAGTACAGCACGTATCTCTGCTTGTTGTTCAGGGTGGTTAGGAGTCTTTTTTCTTTGCAGCCAGGTGGAATGGCAGTTTCCGAAGCAAGGGGAAGGTCGGAGTGATTGTCGTGGAGATCTGATGGATATTCTAAGTCGACTTCCAGGATGTATCCGGTGGAGCTATCTGGTGGGGTACTTCTGTGGCAGGATCAATCCAGTGAAAGTCTTTAAGAGGAAGGTATTGTGACATTGCCCAGCCGTACAAATTGTTAGCATCCAAATAGAGGATATAGTTTGATGGCTGGTTTTTATCATACTCCTCCTCCATGTAGACGTTATTGGCTTTTGCATATCGATGGGAGCATTGGGAAACTCCACCTCGAATCCCGTTCTCTATAAAAAAGTAGCATATCATAGTCTTGCAATAGCTCCAGCTGAACTCCGGTCTTCTTCAGCATGGCGTCCCATGATAAGCCTGGGGCAGTGTAATACCAGGCCGGATCTAGCCCGTACGTTTTTCATACAAACATCCCGAAAATTTTCAAAGATATCTGCCAGCAGTAATACGTCAGACTTGACGTATAAGTCAGCATACTCGCCAAGGGTGTCCAAACGGAAGACTTCCCAAACTTTTTGAGAGTGTTCGTAATCCTCCGCGGTGATATTCGTCTCATTCAGGCGGTTGTAAAAGGCTTCTTGAGGAGGTAAGACCGTTTCGTTAAACTTGTCCGCGTGGTTGATGTAATCGTACGGGTACACTCCCTTTCGCAGATGTAGAGCAAGGTGGTCAGATGAGAAATATCTGGATCAATTTAAATTGATCCTCCGTCAAGTTACGAGCGGGAGGCATGTTGATGGTAGTTCTGTACAGGATGGAGGGCGGACAGAACTGCCCACATGAAGCAGCGATTATCTCTATTATCCACGTTGATGATGGCCTTCTTAGATTTAACAGACGGGGGTATGTCTATGTAGGATGATCCTCTGAGAGGACAATACTTACTCAACCATATTTCTAAAGTGAGAATTTCTTCAAGAGTCCATCCGGATTCTTTTCCCTCAAAATCATCCTCTTCAGCGAGTAGTTTGTCTATTTTTGTAGAGTAGACATCATGTAGGTTGGTAGAAACAGTGACGATAGCATTCTTCGTCTTAAAGTTCTTTTCGTCGCTAACGATACCACTAGGAGTTACTTTGTGATATCGGCACAATAGGCGGACACGGGTAAGGTGAGTCGAGATGATGTGGTGAAAATCTTCCCTTTTCAGTTCGAGAAATGTACGTATGTCTTTAACGTGATCATCATTGGAAAGACAAACATTTTTCAATCTCCCATTAAAGGCAGAAAGGTGATCGGCAGAAGGAGGAACTGTTGATGCAGCATTAAATGTAGAGGGACCAGCACGAGTTGTTGAGACAGTAGTGTTTGGCTGAGAAGGAAGCTGGTGTAATGAGGTAATATCCGATCGGAGTGTTTGTCGGGGAGCGATGCGATGTCTTCAGTTGCTTTCCGTTTATGAATGTACAAATGGAACTTTAACTTATCTGTCCTAGCAAAGGTCTGGGGGCATTCCGGACATTGAGGATGTTTATCCCCATGCATGGATCTCTGGTGGCGCAGCATGTTCCGGCGAGATACGAAAGCTTTATTACATTGAGGGCAAGGTAGTTTTGCTTCATCCAGTTGGTCTTGCTTTAGCATACTATCTAGTTGAGTAACCGTGATGTCACCAAAATCGCAGATAGCATAAAGTTCATCATTCACTGGCATTGAAACGTTTTCAAACGTTTGATTCAAGCCTTGACTCATGTTGAAAATGTTTCAACTTACACAAGAAATTGAAAATATATCAAGTAATAAATACTGAATCAATAAACAATTGGCGAAAAACTTTAACTGTTAATTTAACAGTAAATAACAGATATATAACAACAAATTACAAATAATAGAAATATAACAACAATTTACAAGTACTAATAGAAACGTAAATTCTAAAATATCAAAAGATAGAATCGAAGTTAAGAGCTCCCTGAGAGAGGTAATCCTACAATCAAAAGAAGTTCCCAAAGCGAAGGCGGCTGGTTTTATACTCGCAAAACTACCCAGAATGCAATGCGTAAAACGTAATGTATGTTCCGATTGGTTTTTTATAGTTCTGTGTGAAAGCTTCTGAATGGTTGAAGGCAATGATGTCATCGCATCACCTTTACTTTTGTAACTCACAACGAAAACAGTCCATCAAGTACAAGATAATACAAGTTAAAGCATGTGCGATTTTCCCGCGATTCCACCTTTATATGGACCTCCTATAGGTTCCTATGAACAAACGCAAACAAGCCCGCTTAACCAGGATAAGACATGTTCCATGACTCATGGGATTGCAAGAGAGAAATCTTGTTTTCGCTTGTTCATAGGCTTGTCCATATGCGACGGACAGTCCTGACTTTCAACATACCGATTGCTGTCGGGATGGTCGTACTAGACGTCTCCAAAACGTTAATGTATGACTTCCATTGCTCGAAGATGATACCAAAATATGGTAGTCATTTAAAACTTCTGTACACAGATACCGATAACTTCATCTACAACATCGTGACAGAAGATGTCTATGCCGACATGGCGCAAGCGTTGGAGCTGTATGACACGTCTGATTATTCGCCTAACAACATCTATGGTCTTCCCTTAGTTAATAAGAAAGTTCTTGGGAAAATAAAAGACGAGACCAAGGGGGAAGTCGTGACGGAGTTTGCCGTTATCAGGTCCAAGGTATACATTTACAAATCTGGAACTAAGACCGTGAAGAAGCTGAAGGGGGTCAAAAAGGCTGTTATTGAAAAAAAGATCTCCTTTGAAGATTATATGCAGTGTCTTTTCCAGCACATGGAATTGATGACATGCATGAACCTAATCAGATCAAAAACGCATCAAATTTATTCCATTACTGCAAACAAGATCGCACTGTCACCACATAATCAAAAGCGGCACGTCTTGGCGGACCGCATCAGTACCTTACCATTTAGCCACTATTCCTTGAGGAATGACGATAAGTAAGCAATATAAATTAAAAAAAAAAAAGATCGAGGAAGGATTTTACAAAAAGAAAAAGAAAACTGTAGAGGGAAAAAAAATCTACAAAATTAAATGAGCAAGAAATTCTATTGGATTTGATTGTTGAGTTTAATGGCACAGTTAATGCTCATTTCGACTATAAATAGAAGTGTAGAAACAGAAATATCCCATTTATCATGGATCTTTTGAAATTAAAGCATCCGTACACCGCGGTCCTGGCAGGGCCAACTGGCTCGGGAAAAAGCCACTTCGTTAAGAAATTGATTGAAAACAGAATGATACAGCCTTTTCCTAAGTCTATATGGTGCTATGGTGTGTACCAAGATCTCTATAATGAAATGAGTGATGTTATTTTTCACGAAGGACTTCCGTCTGATTTGAATCATTATTCAGATGCTCTGATTATAATAGACGACCTCATGAGTGAATTAGGAAGTGATCCTCAACTGACAAAGCTATTTTCAAAATTTTCACATCATAAAAATCTCAGCATTATCTTCATCGTCCAGAATATTTTTCATAAAGGTAAAGAAATGAGAGAAATATCTTTAAATGCTCATTATCTTATATTATTTAAAAACAGAAGAGATCAATCGCAGATTATGCACTTAGGACGTCAATTGTATCCCAACAAACTCAAGTTTTTTCAAGAATGCTATGCAGACGCCACATCTAAACCTTATGGTTATTTACTCATAGACTTAAAGTGTGATACCGAAGAATATTTGCGCATGCGTACCGGAATGTTTCCTGGAGATACTTATTATGTGTATCAACCACGTTAACTTCATTTCCTGTACAAATTTCAAACAAGCAGCATGCCTTCTCTAGTAATCGATTTTGAGGGGTTTCAACTTCCTTCAGGACACTTCATCGTCAAAGAATTTGCATTCCATGCCGTAAAGGGCAATCCCATCACCGGAATGTTTACCTTTCAGTCACCGTTCCCTTTCGAAAAACTCTCAAGACAGCTGGATTACAAGAAACATTCACGGTATTGGCTGGGATCAAGGAGAGCTACCTTATAAAAAATTTCGAAATATTCTGATGTTTCTGAGCGATGCTTATCCACATATTTATGTAAAAGGTCTCGAAAAACGGAAATTTCTTGAATTTTTAACTGGAAGACC